AAAAAAAAAAGAATCTCGTTTAGTACAACAGGCTTTGCACTTTGCAGCCTAATAAATGATCAAAACGTATATATTTTGTATTATTACATACTAATAAAAAAGTAAACATACAGAAATAAAGAAGTTCCTACGAAGTTTAATCAGCTTTTGTGTGTAATACTCCTTAATAACTGTAAATATTTATTTCTTGTATATTAATAAATATAAATGAACAAAACACAAAAAAAGGTGAAATTGGTATTATTGAACGTAACTTAATTTTATATTGTTGCGTCAGCGAGGTCACGTGACTATTGTCACGCCACCTGCTTTCTAGAACTATCCCGTTCCTTCGGGAGTGCTCTAGCATTTACTAGATTGGGGGGTGGTCTGGCATATATAAGATGGTCACGGCGTGACGTGACAATGTGTGTGTGTTGGTAGTGAGTAATTGAACTGCAGTCAGAGAGTATTGTTGAAGTTCGTTATAGCGTTTGTTTTAGCGCGAATGTTGAAAATAAGTGTATCGGTAAAGTTGTATCCGGAAAGAATAAACCAGTTTTATTAAGTAAGGACTTGTGCCGCTAATGTTTCGTCGGAACGAAGTTACGGGAAATCAACTAACGAACGGAGACGTAACAATATTAACGTATATCTGAAATTAACAACTTATTTAAGATAACACAAAAACATAACATCCTGTAATGTTACTGCACCATTATCACAAACAATCATTTATATACTTATTAAAAAAGTTAAGTTAATGATAATATTAATCCAATATGAATAAATTACTATTCAATGAATATCACTCAATTTTTCTATGAACAATAGTCTTTTATTTTTTTTGTATTTATATTTCATAAGTCCATGGGGAGTTGGTTCATTATATATGGTATTTTATAGTCTTTTACTCTTGTTCCATAGTTATTATTGTAATTTGGAATTGAATAATATTTATTTTCTAACGTTTTAGTATTATACTTATGATGTATAGTACTTTATAATTTAGACCAGGAGTCACCAAACTACGGCCCGCGAGGTCAGTTCCTCTGGCCCACTGCTGCACTGTGCCACAAATGAGCTAAAATATAATTATTTATATGGAAATATCATAGATTGTAGATAAACTTACTATGT